CCCTAGCCTAAAGAACTTACATGTGCAATCTTTCCATAACCATAACCTTCTGTAACAACTGCTTGTTATGCATAGTGTCTGCACTTCACAATTGGGTCTCCTTTCAGGAATTTCTATTTCCATCATTGTACTGCACTTGAACTTAATCACAGAGCTTCACATTCAATTACAGGCTTCTTATTAGATTACAGAAGCTAAAATCTTTTCAATTTTGCCTCTAGCCAGACTTGAACTATTAACCTTGACTGTGAAAGGTATGGGAGCTTAACTGCTAAGCTATGAGACCTACATCCTATTCTTCTATATTTTGTATTTGGAGGTCTAAACCTATTTTACTATACTTTCTAATTAGTTTTTCTTGTTTTATGTTTTTAATTCTTAATATTTCTTGTTTTTTATTATCTATTTTTGATCTTTCTTGTTTTCTGTTTCTTGACTCATTTCTTTCTTGTACTTTTTTTTTTTTAGGGTTCTTCTAACTTATATGATGGTTGTTATATCATATTGGTGTTATTTGGACCTCCTTTACTATTTGAGCATTTGCAAAGGTAATTATTGCAAACTTCTTTTGATTCTCATTTCTGTTACATGAAATATATACTGCTATTGCATCCTTGTTTTTTAGACATTATAGCAGAAGCACTTTTGAAGCTCCTCTTGAGATGTTCAACAATTTAGCTATATATTGTTCTTGTTTATTTCTTTAATTATAGTCTTGATTTTTATTTGTTATACATGCTAATTTGTTATTACCAAGTGGCAAAACATATGAAATATTTTCTTCTTTTTCTATGTTTGCTACTATTACTGCTAGTGCTTTATATAGTAATTTCTTAATTTATATAATATTTAGATCTTTGAATTTTTTGCACATAAGGTAAATAAGGGTATTGTGATGAAGGGGGGTATTGTGATGAACTATTAATTTTTTGACTTTCCATTAATAAAATACCAAATTATATAAACAAAAAATAAACATTCAATCATCTGCATGCAAGTAGCTAATAAAATGCCAAAGAACTTAAATTATTTAGTTTAAAAAATATGTTACTAACTTTAATAATGCTCAGAAATAATATCTAAAATTGTTGCATGTTTAATTGTTGTGTGTTTAATTGTTGTGCTTTTAATTATTATGTATTTAATACTTCTTTTAGAGCTTATATTACTTTAACATAATATTCAATATAATAATAAAAGCTATAAAAAAATGTTGTTAGTTACATTGTATATGTTATATTTGCATAGTTATCAAGTCTCTTTACAATGTTCATCTGTTTTATTTTATACACACATAATTCTAAACTTATTAGTTGTGCTACATTAAGATTAATTACTAAACCAGGCCTTCACAAATTCATTTTACCAATTGCATATTTACATTCAAGTGCTGCCAAGTGAAAATGAAACTCTGGGCTTTCAATCATGTTTTGTGCTGAGCTCAATCCATCAAATTTATTAAAGATTATGTTGGTACAAAATACAATTAAGAGTTCAAAACCTATTTTCCCTTGGCATCACTTATTTATTAACATATTTTATTTATTCATTTATTTATTAATTTTTTTAAATTAATCATGCATATTTTATTTATTATTATTAATTATTATTATTTTTTTTTAAATTATTTATTAAATTAATCTCATATTTTATTATTGGTTATACTTTTCTTTGCATCAAACTAATCATGTTTTTTTTTTTAATTACAGAAATTACTTCAGCATGCTGCAAGTTTCTTATATTAATCGACAAAATAAAATTTCCTCTGCTCTTAATGAATTAAATAACTCTGCCAACCCCAAATGCCCAAGTATCAACAGTGTAGCAAAAAATTTTGGGCTTTCTGAAGCTACCCTTCGACATGCAGCAAAAAATGGTGGTCCCTCCAAACATCGTAATCCCTCTACTATCTTAACAAAACATAAGAAAAACCAGCTTGTTGGCTATTGCATAAATATGCAATGGCTTGGATTTGGTTTAACTAAATCTGGGATTAATCATTGTGTAATGGAAATTATGGACCACAATAAAAGACTACATCCATTTGGAGATAAAGGGCCAGGTCGGGACTGGTGGACCCGTTTCATGAGAGACCACCCTAAACTATCATTCTGTATCCCTCAAGAATTATCCAAAGCTTATGTGCAAAGAGCCAATGCCACTATCATTAAAGATCATTTTGATAAACTTAAACAAATCATTAATGAAAACTCACTTACCGTGCTGCAGGTTTGGAATATAGATGAAACAGAGTTTGTTCTTGTACCTAAGTTGAAAAAAGTTTTTGCAAAAAAAGGCTCACACCAGGTTCATAAGGTTGCGTATAAAAATTCTCATGAGCATATCTCAGTTGTTCCAACAATCTCAGCTGCAGGATCATGCATTCCACCTTTAATTATCTATAAAGGTTCTCGCACAATTCTCAGTTTGTTACAAGGTGCACCTCCTGGAACAGTAATGGGTTTTACAGACACGAGGTACATGCGTGAGCACCTTTTTAAAATGTATCTTATCCACTTTATTAACTCAATTCCGTCAATTCACCCAATCTTACTAACACTTGATGGTCACAAAAGCAATGTTAGCTATTCATATGTTGATTTTGTCACCAAAATGGAATTCTTCTTTATGCATTTTCACCTTACATGACGCATATTTTATAGCCATCTGGAATTTCTTTTGCAAAATTAAAAAAGGAGTTTGGGAAACAATATGACAATTATCATAATACTACTAGCAAAGTAGTAACAAAACATACCTTCGCGAAACTTTTTGGTCCTGCTTTTATTGATACTTACATATCTTTAGCTATCTGTAATGCCTTTAGGGCTACAGGAATATGGCCCTTTAACTCTAAAGCTATTAGCCCAGACTGTTTGGACCCTTCCCTAGCAACAGAATGTTTTGATATTATGCTTTCGTCTGATCAACCTTCACAACCTACCATTATACCTTCGTCTGATCAATACTTACAACCTATTATTGTACCTTTGTCTAGTCAATCTTCACAACTCGTCATTATATCTTCGTCTAGTCAGTCTTCACAACTAATCATATTACTCTCACAATCGACTCCTAAGCCAAATCACCCTTATTATACTCGCACAAATTTCACCTAGTTAATAACAGAAAATGAAACACTTAGAAATGAGATTAAATTACTAAAAACTTAATTTACAGCAACCAAAGAAGAATTAAAAACCTATAAAAGCCCCAGAACAAGTTCTTTACATTCGGTTCTCAGGTATAATTTTTCTTGTGCCCTGCAAGCTGAGACTTTGGACATTCCTTTAGAAATTCGACAAGAATCTGGCCCCTCTCCTAAAAAAAGAAAGACATTTCTGTTTGCACAACTTCTTACCAATGATGAAAGTTGGCAGAAGTTGAAAGAAGCAAATGAAGAAACTGAAAAAAAACTTGAAGAAGCTAAACAGAAAAAAGAATTAGCAGCCCAGAAAAAGATGGAATGGCAGCAAAATTTAGAGCAAAAAGGGAAGAGCGTGAATGAAAAAAGCGAGAAAGAGAAAAGCATCAATCTAAAAAATAAAAAAAGTGTTTAGAGAAATAAATAGAATAAATAGAATGTTTGAAAAATAAAAAATATTATGTCGTATGTACATATGTATGTACGTAATTAAGTGAAAAAATTTTTTTTCAATTTCATCACAATACCCTCACTACCTCTAAAATCTGACTTTTGTGTTCCATGCACAAAACGATCTGTACATCTAAACTGGTTTGCTAAACCACGATAATTTATATTGAATCTGTTTTATAATGAGCCACAGTTTATATTAAAACAAAAAAAAAAAGTTTTTTTTATGTTAAATTTAAAGTTTTGTTAGTAGAAATTTTAACTTCGTCACAATACCCCACTTCATCTTATATTTTATCTCTTTTTTGTTAATATTTGGTAATAGGTCTTATATAATTAAATATTTTTCTTATGCAGTTTCTTTTTTTATTCTTCATCTTCAAGATTTTTTGTATGATGTTTTCTTTTATAAAGTCTTTTTTTCTTCTTTTTTTTCTTGTTTTCTTATTTCTCTTGTTTTTTTTTTATTTTTTCATCCTTCCTTTTATTTCTTTTTGTATCTTCTGGCTTGTCTGGTATCATTCTAAACCATTCTTCATATTTTTGATCTAGCTAATCCATCACTTTGTTTCTTTGTTTTTTTCTTTCTTACAATCAAATTGTATTTCTATCCAATTATTGCCTCTTGTAAATATTTCTTTTATACTTATAATATGTCTATTTATGTTCAACATTCATTTAATCATACTAATTCTTTTTTCTTTTGTTCTATCTAGAATATTGTATAATAGAATTCTTGCACTGGCTGGTATTTCATTTTTATATAATCTGTTTTCTGATGCCTATATATTTTGCTCTAGTAGTACTTTTATTATTTCTTTTTGTATGCTTATTTCTTCTTCTGTTTTGTATTTTTTTTTTTTTTTCTTCTGGAGTTAAGTTTTGTTTGGATACTTTATTATTCATTTCTACTTTTTTAGCCTCTTGTATTAGGAGTGATTCTCTTAAGGTCTTTTCTATAATTAACTCTTCTGACTATATTGTAATTTTTCTATCTGCTTCTGATTCTCTTGCTTGTATTATTTGGTCATTTCTTTTACTTGATTTTTCTATAGTTGTTTTACTAGATTCTGGTATAGTTGTTTCATTTGCTTCTAATATATACTTCTTTATATTTCTTATATTTTTAATTTTTAGAAGGTTTGAACTTATTCTATAAAGTCCTCTGCCTATTTCTCTACATTATTTGAATTACTCATATAACTCTAATTATTGTTTTATATATTTTTTTTAATATTACTATCTCTATTAAATTAGTTTTTTACAATGCTACTGCTATGATATCTCTAATATTAAATAAGTTATCTCTGTTTGCTAGTTCTAATTCTAATTCTCTACTATTTATTTGCTCTAATTCTATATTTGTTTTTTCTTTTACTAATTTTAATGTCATTGACTCTTCTATTTGCATTTGTGTTATTATGTTGTTTGTACTTTTTCCTTATTCTTCTATGTTTATGTGTTTTGTATATTACTTACATATTACTTTTGTTTATACTTACATGTTCTTGTTTGTTAATTTGTAGCACATGTCTTTGTTTACTTTTGAGTTTGTGTAACAAATAGATCTGCAAAAACTGAGTAGAAATATATTCCTATATTTTTAATAATTTTGTTAAAAATATTTGTTTTCTTGCTGTTGCTTGCTGCTGTTTTGGTTTATTTTTTGTTTTTCAACTTGCTTAACTGTATTTTATGAGTCTTTATCTTTTTTCTTAGTGCTCTAAGTGCTGCTTGCTTGTGTGTTTTAGTGTTATTTTATGTTTTTATTTTTTGTAATTTTAGTTAAAGGATCTACAGTATTGATAAGTATTAAACAAATTTTATATTACTAATTTATAACAATAAAATAACAACAATACTAGTTTTAAAAATGCTTAAAATAATAATTAGTTTGATTAAAAATTTTTTTTTCAGTATTAAGATGACCTCTTTGGTCTTAGCTTTTTATTAATACTTATATCAAATATATGTTTTATACAGATGTATTTATATTGAACTATCAGATAAGTATACAACTAGCTAAGGGCCTGCAAATTATCTATTTTTTAGGCCTGGCCCAGCCTGCAATTAGGGTTAAAATTTTTTTTTAGGCCCGGCCCGGCCCGCATTTAGGGTTATCGTTTTTTTGCTAATCTGGCCCAGCCTGCATATGTTAAATTTTTTCTTCAGCCCAGCCTGGCCTGGCCTAGCCCACAAAGATTTCTTATATAATTTTACAAATTTTTAGGCCCACACTGGCTCGCAATTATAAAGTTTTGTAAATTTTTTAGTCCAGCCTAGCCTGCAATTATAAAATATTGCTTCAGGTCTAATCTAGCCTGCAAAAATTTGTGAGCTGGGCTGGGCTGTGGGACCTAATGCAGGTCTTTACAACTAGCTATATATGTAACTTTTCTATATTACCTATTAAAGAAGTTCACTTTAAAGTTCTCTATCAGTTGCTGTATCTAACACTCCTGCTTAGATGTTTTATTTAAACTTTTTGATCTTATTTTAGTATTAATTTTATCAGATCACAGACCTAGATCTATTCACTTTTAACTATAAAATATAATTTTTAGACTATTTTTATCCTTAAGACAAACCTATCAGAATAAGCCATATTCTCTTTTATTACTAACCTGATTTGATAATATGACTAAGACTAATACTTGCAGTTAGGGTTATTCATTAAACTGCTATTATTCTTGTAAAGTTTACTCAAATCCTAATATCCATTATTCCAACTTTTTCATTATCCCTTACTAGTTGCAACTCAGAACCAACTGACTCCTCAGACTTCCAATTTAGATAACCTATTATAATATAATTATGTATTCTTTTCCTTTGGTAATTCTAGTAGCCTAGTTGGTTATGTGCTTCTTTATACATCTTGTCATTCAGTTTATTTGATAGTTTCTATAAAGGTGTTTCATAAGTTTTTATTAGTCCAATAGCATCATTGAAAGTTTGTACTACCTCTTTACTTAGGATTTCCAAGTAGGTTTTTGTCTTCTCAGTTTCTTAGCCTTCTATGCTTGATGGTCTTATTATAGGTTTGCACTAAAGTCTTATACAATATCAGTTTTTTACATTCTTCTATGTACATGTAATGTTATACTTTGTATAAATGCTTTAAGCTTTCAATATTAGATAGTACCCAACTTAGTATATCTAAGATTACAGATGTCCAAAACCCAACTAATTAGCAAAAGACAGTTACTATAATACAAATATAATTTTCAAAATTTGGCATTTGTAGAAATTGAACCATAGACCTGCCACTTGAAAGTTAACAACCTATTCATTTTACTAGGTCACTATATTTTAGTTTTATTAAAATATAATCTTTATTATATGCATATATTCAATATTAAAACTGATATATTAAACATTAAAAAAAATACAATACAAATAAAAAAACAATATAAAAAAAAACAAAAAATAATGCAATTTAAAAAAAAAAAATATAATACAAAGAAAAAAAATTATACAAAAAACTATTACTAATAATTAAGTCTAAACATTTTATTTATTTCTTCTTATAATATCAATTAGTTTTTTCAAAAAAGAGATTTAAAATTAAAATTTTAAAGTAAGATCTTTTTTGATTGTTTATTATTAGTTTCACTATTTAATATATTTTCTGCTAATTTATATAATAGACTACTGCTAACAAAATTTCTCTTTAAATATATTAAATATATTAAATATTAATATTATTACTTATAAAAACAAAATATACAATTACTTACCAAATTTAATTTTATGTCTTATATGTAATTCTTTATATATAATGTTTTATAAATAGAAGTCAAATAAGATGTTACAAATTGCAAGTTGAGCATACAATGTTTATAAGTTATAAAGAGAACTGCTACTATAATAAAAGCTGTTTTTGCAATAATAGATATTTAAAAGATGCCTTTATTATTTTTTTAAAAAGTATATAATAGCAAGCACTTAATTCTGAACTTTCTTTTGCTTTATAATATTAGTTACAATAGCATTACTTCTTAATTGACCAACTTTCTAATTCTAAAAACATTTCAAATTACAAACTTAATGCTTTGAAATGCAGTATCACAAGTGTTTTTAATTTTTTTAAAAGCTATATAATGTAAATTATAAGTATTTAAAAAACTGAAATCAAAAACAATTGTAAACAATATATAATAAAAGAATTATTACTTAAGGATAAATATAATTGTAACAATCTGTTATATGCTTATTTGTAACAACCAATTAGTATGACTAATAAAAATAATCAAAATTTTATGTAACTCAAATTCTAACTCTAACTACTATTGGCTAATCTGAAGTTATTATATGTAACAAGTTGTTATGAGAACATTTATTCATTACTTAATACAAAATAATATAAATCAAAAAAGTTAGAAAATAATTATTAATAATTATAAGTAATAAATATATATAAAATATATATATATATTATTAGACTTAAATATTAATTATAAAAATAATTTGTTTTTTTTTTTAATATTAAGGTGAGGCCTTGCTCATATCTTTATTGATAGTTTAAAAATTAGTAGCTATGTACAAAAAGTAATTTCTATATAAATGCTATAGCTAAAACCAACATTTGCAATCAGAGCTAAACCATTAAACTGCTAACTATATAGCTACTCTAAGTACAAATAAAAGAAAAACTACATTCAA